TAAAGAACCCTTGAAGAACCATCTTTTTCAGAAGGTTCTGTATCCGTGTTGGGAGTGGAACGTTTAGAGCTGTATTTTGTCTGATTTCAGTGAAACCCTTCATGAATGTGCAGCTGCTGCTGTGTGAAAATGACAGAACGTCACCGGAACCACAGAACCTTTCTGTCATGCTTTTGTGTTACAGATGGTTTTTCAGGTTTTCAGAGTCCAGCAGTGAATCAGGACGGTCTTTTGTGTTTTGTATGTGACTGATGGCTATTCATGCTGATGACGTCACTTCTTGTTTACGAGGTGTCAAATATGAACGCCTGCATTTCAGTAACACAGCGTTTAACTCCTTAAATTACAGACTGAGGCTCATTATTCAGTAACTACAGGGACTTCAGCGCAAACTGGCTGAGCTGTTCTTAGATTATAGAAGTGCATAATAAAATTTTGGGCTCTGGACATTTTAGGGGTCAATAGCTGCAGGTGTGAGTGATGTGAAGCCCAACATTAGCAGTAAAGATATGCCAGTTATGTATCAGGTCTGGAGAGTAAAAACCCCAAACCATGGAGCTTCAAACATCAAACCCTAAGCTCCACACCCTTAAACCCCAAAGGGTGCACCCCACTAAACTCTAAACCCCACATCTCAGCTCTAAACCCCACATCTCAGCTCTAACCCCCACATTTGAACTTCCAAACTCAAAACACCTGAACCCTAAACCCCAACCCCAAAACCCCTGAACCTCTAACAGTAACAGTAACTGCAAACTCCAAGTCTCAAACCTAAACTCTAAACCTAAACCCCAAATCCTACATTTTAAATCCTAAACCCTAAATTTCAAATCTCAGACCTTAATTCTAAGTCCTACATATCGACCCCAACCCTGAAATCAATCCTAAACCCTAAATGTTTCAAACCTTAAACCCCAACCCTAAATCTCAAATCTCAAACCTAAATCTCCAACCCTAAATGCTAAACCCTAAGTCTAAACCCTAAACTCTAAAAACCCTAAATACTAAATGCTAAACCCCAACCCTAAACCCAACCCTAACTCTAAACCCTAAATCCAACCCTGAACTCTAAAACCTAAACACCAACCTTAACTCTAAACCTTAAACACCAACCCTAACTTTAAACCCCCAACCCTAAATCCCAAACCCCAACCCTAAACCCTAAACCCTAAACCCCAGAGCGCTGTTCCTGTGCCGTGAGAGCGTCTCAGGGTTCAGGTACTCGTTCACCTGCTGGCTTTATCGCTCTGACGCTCTTCCTGGCGATGGAGTGTGGGAGTGGGTGATGAAGCAGACCCCCCTCACCCCCCCTCCTCTGGAACAGGTGAGTCACTGTCGAGGTGTGTGTGTGTGTGTGTGTGTGTGGGGGGGGGGCAGGTGGGAATAAAAGCTCAGTGAGTTTCTCTACAGCACAAACAGACCATCCTTCCTTCACTTACAAAAGAGAGAGAGAGAGAGAGAGAGAGAGAGAGAGAGAGAGGGAGAGAGAGAGCTCTGATTAAAGCGATAGATCAGACAAAAGTCTAATCCCACTCAGATTATATAAAGACAGATTTACAAAGAAAGATAATGACCACGCTCTGCAGGCGCCTCCTTTACAACTGAAAATCTGCGCCACACAAACAAAAACAGGCATAAAACCCTCAGCAGGACAGCGATGATGATTTATCTGATGAAGGAGAGTTCGGAGCTCATTCTCTGAGGTGAACCTGAGGTCAGTCGGTTTCTGTCCACTGCGGCAGTTAGGTCTGCAGTTCACCTTCAGTTTATCGTCTCCCGTTATTCAGCGCTGCTCTTTATCTGTTGGATCAGTCGTGTGGCTGGAGTCGCTGCAGTCGTCATGGAGCAACGTCACATTAAACGCTCAAAGACCACCGACTGTCACTCGTGACAATTTTGCGTTTTACCGTTATTGTTATCGTAAGTGTAACTGTGGAAGTTTGATGTGCAGAGGAAACAGCGCCCCCTGTCACTGCACTGCAGTGCATCTGATCTTAAAAGGACACAGAGGACATTTAAAAGAGCATCAAGATCCTGAGATACACTGTGTGTCCAGAAGGCTGTCGAGTTTCTTCTGAGATGAAGGTGTTAATAGTGAGTCTGTGCTGCAGTAACAGCCTCTACTCTCCTGGAAAGGCTTCTAGATGTTGAACATTGCTGTGAGGATTTGATTGAGCATTAGTGAGGTCAGGTACTGATGTTGGATGGTCAGTTCTGGGTCACTCCAACTCATCCCAAAGGTATTGGATTTGGCTCCATCACTCCAGAGAACACAGTTCCACTGCTCCACAGCCATGCTGGGGGGCTTTATACCCCTCTAGCCCACACTTCACATTGGGCATGGAGACCTTAGGATCATGAGCAGCTGCTCCAGAGCGCCTCATTCTATTGGTCAGTGCTTTTCTTTGGAGATTACACGAGCCCAAGCGACGCTGCCGTCCAGACAGAAGTAGGTTTATTAACGGTTTAATGGTTTAATGAGAAAGCGCGGGTCCCTGGGTGAAGGCCTAATTAGCCCACTTCTATAATTGAAGCCCCTCTGAAGACTATCTGAACGTCTGCGTTTGACATTGACTATATTTATACCTGTGTTCCACCCCCCCACCCCCCCACCCCCCTTCACCAAAGGTGTGTCTTCAGAGAAAACCAGCAGATTTACACGCTCACAATCTAGCGACAGTGTCAGAGGGCGGCAGATTCATTAAACAGACGTTATTGCTTTGCGCGTGTGGCGTGCTGAGGCGGGGGCCGCAGGGATTTGTGGGTATTTCTGGGCCGCTGGAGAACAGACCTGAGCCAGAATGAGGCGTGAAGCTGGAGCCGGATGAAAGCACGTCTTTCAGCGGCAGAAAAAGGATGAATGGTGAAGCTCTCGCGTCTTCAGAAAAGGAAGCAGTGGGAGCGTTAATGTGGAATTAAAGCGTAAAAAAGCGCCCCCACCTACACTCTCCGTTCTGGATCCTTCCCTCCTCGCGCGTAGTAAATCTGTCAGCCGGCTCCGGCGGCTCGGCACTGATGGGAAGCGGGCAGGCCCAGAGAGAGAGAGCGGAGAGAGAGCGGAGGGTGCTGGAGAAGGAGAGGAGGGCGCCCGCAGGGCAGCGTTAAAGGAGCCGGAGCGACGCCGGGGGAGTAAAGGTGCAGACGGAGCAGGCCAAAGGGAACGGAGAGCACGCTTAAGTAAATGAAAGCCATCACAGCCTCTCAGAACAGAGCCAAAGTGCACTAGAGTGATTGGAGAGCACCTCAAACACCAGCACAGCACTGCAGAATTAACGCCAGCACCACACTTTCCCAACAGGTCCCCACACCATTCACACGCTCTCCTCCTCTACATGCTGGGGAGAGCAAGAGGCCCTGGGGGGCCTGGGGGGCACTATGAAGTAGGAGCTACCGCCACACACATAAAAAAACCTCAAAGATATCTTATGTATTTGGAAATTTTATGGCAAATGTGGATGTCTGGCAGGTAAACAATCATCAAAAGTACCAAAATATGTAAAAATACAGCAGCGCATAAACAAACACACAACACTCATCAACACCAAGTTCATCCCTGTTCATTTATCAGCCTGACCAAAGCTATGTATATATATATATATATATATTGGTGCAAACCATGGAAATGGGTGTAGTGTAACTACTGAAACAGGTGTAGTGTAACTATGGAAACGGGTGCAGTATAACTATGGAAATGGATGTAGCGTAACTATGGAGATGGGTGCAGTGTAACTATGGAAATGGGTGTAGTGTAACTACGGAAACGGGTATAGCGTAACTATGGAAACAGGTGCAGCGTAACGTTGGAAATGGATGTAGTGTAACTATGGAAACGGATGTAGTGTACCTATGGAAATGGGTGTAGTGTAACTATGGAAATGGGTGTAGCGTAACTATGGAAATGGATGTAGTGTAACTATTGAAACAGGTGTAGTGTAACTATTGAAACAGGTGTAGTGTAACTATGGAAACGGGTGCAGTATAACTATGGAAATGGATGTAGCGTAACTATGGAGATGGGTGCAGTGTAACTATGGAAATGGGTGTAGTGTAACTACGGAAACGGGTATAGCGTAACTATGGAAACAGGTGCAGCGTAACTTTGGAAATGGATGTAGTGTAACTATGGAAACGGATGTAGTGTACCTATGGAAATGGGTGTAGTGTAACTATGGAAATGGGTGTAGCGTAACTATGGAAATGGATGTAGTGTAACTATTGAAACAGGTGTAGTGTAACTATGGAAACGGGTGCAGCGTAACTATGGAAACGGGTGCAGCATAACTATGGAAACGGGTGTAGCGTAACTATGGAAACGGGTGCAGTGTAACTATGGAAATGGGTGTAGTGTAACTACGGAAACGGGTGTAGCGTAACTATGGAAACAGGTGCAGCATAACTTTGGAAATGGATGTAGTGTAACTATGGAAACGGATGTAGTGTACCTATGGAAACGGATGTAGTGTAACTATGGAAATGGATGTAGTGTAACCATGGATACGTGAATTGTCTAACCATGGGAACCGGTGTAGTGTAACCATGGAAACGTGTGTATCCTGCTGCTCCACTGCAGATTGATGTTCATCAGTCAGTCTGTGTTTTAACTCAGTGTCTGATCTCTGGATGGTGAGAGCTGAGCAGTCAGAGCAGATCTGCACTGTTTACTGATTCCTCCATCAGCTCTACACTGGGGTCTTCACGTTCACATCAACTAGAGGGCATCACCCCACACACACACACAATAAGCCAAGTGTAGACCAACTCAACAAACACTAACAAACCCAAAAGTCCTTTAGTTAATACTTTTCATTAGAATGTAAGTGTGTGTTGGGTTTTGTTGAGTTGATGCGCTCAGACTGACTCAGACTGCTCTATAGGAGACAGTGGAGCCATCGCTCTGATTACAGGAGCTTATCATCACAACACAGAGAGAGAGAGAGAGAGGAGAGAGAGAGAGAGAGACGGCAAAGGAGAGGAAACAGGGTAAATCCTGTTTTACTCACATCTGACGCAGGACCTTTATCTGCTCCGGGACAGGAAAAGGTGACGAATTCATGGCAGCGCTTATGAACCACGAAACAGCACACTGAGAGAGAGAGAGAGAGAGAGAGAGAGAGAGAGAGAGAGAGAGAGAGAGAGATTGTTAGGTTCTCATACAACACCCAAAGCTCCCCTTATCCACTTTATCTACCCGCACACCAGTCTGTCACATCCTCAGAGCTGCTCACAGGAGAACCGTACTGAGCTACTCTACCCTGTCGTCTCACAGAGACAGATGGGCGAGAACCATGAGAAATGGGGAAACACAGACTTATTAAAACGGGAACAAACTGATTGAGACATTTTTAAGGTGGGGCTCACAGTAGGGGGCGCTGATGTGCTCACCAACATTATCTGAACAGCAAGGCAGTTATATGGATGTAGCGTAAGTTAGTACTTAAAAGTCCCCCCAAAACTCCAGGTAAGCATGTAGATGTGAGTCACGAGTGCACAGAGAGAAAATAAATGTCACCTCTTAAGCGATTTTAGCTTGTCTTTAAGTTAAGTCACACCTAAAACCACACACAATCACAACCACCACTCCTACACGGAGGCAAAAACGTCAACCCCCCCCCATTTTGCAGTTTCAGTGCACAAGTTAGCAGAGCTGCTGTAGCAGTTTGTCAGTGTCTGAATCTCAAAAAGCCCCTCATTCCAGTGTAGAGCAGTATGTATGTTCTGGCTTCTACACCAAAACAGTGCACTGTTTGTCCAGTATGGAGTCCCAAATGGCTGTTTATTAGTCATGTGATGCACTGTTTGGGTGCAGGAGACACTGTTTTAATATGTGGTGCACTATGTAGGGAGCAGGGAGCCATTTGAGATTCAGCCAGTGTTGTTCTGAGTGAATCAGCTTTATTGATAACGGTCTGTAGACAGAGCGTCTGTAGAGGCTGCGTTTCCCGTAGCAGGTCAGTCAGACGGAGCGTTTCGTACAGTGTGAGTTTATAAATCGTAGCTTTGTCTGAACACGGTGGTCTAATCAAACGGACAGTGAGAGTCACCAAAGAACAAGATCTCTAACATCACACAGTGTCTGTCTGGCTCTACAGAGAAAAACAGCTCCATTAGCTAATAATAATAATAATAATAATAATAATAATAATACTTATAAAGTGCTTTTTAAGAACTCAAAGACTTGCAAGCTTTCAAATCACAACACAGCAGAGACAGACTTGGAGACAAGAGCTCTGTCACAAGCAGAGACACCACAAGGCTTGGTAGAGAGTGTGAATGATAGCGTTTTCCTAGCTAGCTCATTTAGCTTGTGTTAGCAACTGAACTCCAGACATTAAAAGGGCACTAGAGTAGAGGAATTTGGGGGCGGGGCTTAGAGAGGGCGAAAGCTAGTGTAGATTTACACTGGAACACTAACACTGAGACGTGGAGTGAAGTTTCACAGAATCATGAGTCGAAATTTGTAACTGTGAGAAGCAGAAAATACTAAACCAGCTTCTAAGACTGAACTTTGGAGGTGTGACTGCAGATTCTTTGAGGAACTGAAAGTGAGGCTCCTGAAAAGAATGGAACCTGGAATAAAGAGTGACTCACTGACTCACAGCTGAGATTAGAGCCGAGATGTGTTTATATGTTTTCTGAAAAATGAATATCTTAATAATAAATTGACTGTAAATTAAATGAATGAAGGGCGGCCTCTTCTGCAAAATACTGTATATTGATATTTTGTGTGGCTTGTGATTTTACATAATTCTCAATAGTCATCAGTTATCATTGGTCAATCTGAACACTTTTGTCCAATCACAGGCTGGTTCTCTTTTTCAATATTCACTGCTGTATATTAACTGTCAAATCTTTAGTCTGTATTTATATTGGTTCTGTTTTCTATGTGGTGTGGTCCAGAGGAGGATGGGTTCCCCTTTAGAGTGTTGGTTCTCCTCAAGGTTCCTCCTTTTGCTCTAAGGCAGTGTTTCTCCTGGGACTCAGATCAAGATTTTCTCTGAAGCTGCTTTGTGGAAACACAATTTAAATACATTTAAATTGAAGTGAACTGTAAAATGTTGGTGCAGGAGTCCAACATAATTTATCACCTCATAACTTCTTTCTCAACATACCCTAAATATTTAACATCAAACAATACTTTTTGTTGTTACATTTACAATATTAGAAGAATCTACACTGTATATATATATATATATATATATATATATATATATATATATATCTCATATATTCAGTGTTAGATTGGTTCTGTTTTCCAGACAATGTAAAACCTTCAGTAACTCTAACATGCAAATACTGCCTTAAACCACGGAACGAACACAAAAAAGGCACTGTTCAACACACACACACACACACACACACACACACACACACACACACACAGACACACACACACACACACACACACACACATACACACATACACACAGACACACACACACACACACATACACACATACACACACACATACACACAGACACACACACACACACACACACACACACACACATACACACACACATACACACAGACACACACACACACACACACACACACACATACACACATACACACAGACACACACACACACACACACATACACACAGACACACAGACACACACACACACACACACACACATACACACACACACACACACACATACACACATACACACAGACACACACACACACACACACATACACACAGACACACACACAGACACACACACACACACATACACACAGACACACACACACACACTGCTGCAGTGTTTACAATACATGTAAATATACTGGACAGTTTAGCGTCAGGTTACATTACTGTATGTGTGCTGCAGTGAATATATCTGTACTGAATATTTGCGTCAGCACTGTATCTGTACTATACTGTAGTATCTGTACCATGCAGTACACATACAGTCAGTACAGTACAGACATATTCAATAGAGGTAAAGTATAGCACAGATACAGTGCAGACACAAATACTCAGTACAGATACATTACTGTATGAGTATTTCTGTACTGACTGTATGTGGTTGTTTGGAGTGTGTGGGTCACAAACTCACACATTTTAGTTTTTGCTAAATAATTTTAAGGCCTGGGCCAGATTGGAGAAAGAACATTTAATTTGCTTTTGTTTTGTTTTTATGAGTCACATCACACTCCTCACACTCCTCCTTATTCCTGAAAGGGATGCAGTCAAATCAACCAGTCACAAGCTCAACCTTATCTTCTCAGCCCTCCAATCAGTGTTCAGCATCCGATTCATTCCTTTAGCTGTACGCTGGTGTGTTGTGTATATATACTGAATGTAAAGCTCCAGCTGTGCTGTTCAGATGTGTAAAAGTGATATTGTGAGTACAATAAACTGTTTTCCGCCCATTTTCAAAGCCAAAAACAGACACAAACATTGAAAAACTTGCTGCGTCTGCAATTTTGGTGTTTACAATGTTCTTTTACTTCAGAAGCTCAGTCATGAAATCAAGGGTAACGTCTACTTCAGCACAAAGTCATCAAAGGCAAAATGTTGATGCTTTAGCTGAGTTTAGGCTTTGAGTTTGCTGTGTTGCTCCTCCTCGACGTCTCAGTTGACTGGTTTGGACCCAGTTATGTTGTCTTCAGTGTGCAGAAGTTGTGTCTGTGGTGAAGGGTGTGAACTCAGTAATCAAAACAGGGTGGAAAAAAGGGTACTTTTGTGGGTGAATCTGCAAAAAAACATCAGACTGACTCCTGTCAACATTCACAGATGACATTGCTATTAGAACACAACCAGCACTTTCCACTAAAACCTGTTTAAACTTTTCTAAATCACCGAACACTTCAGTCAAAGTGTTCACTTCAGTTTTATATACATTAATTACATGCATCGAATCATTCAGCAAAACGGTGATGCGATATATCGTCAGAAACCATTTTATAATCCATCATTCACAGCAGTTACGTAAAGTTAGTAAACAATATTAATACAAGGTCTCCAAAAACAGCCCACAAAAGCACTGCCAGTTTTTTTGCTGCTTGACTCTAAAAACTAAATATTCTCCCCTGATGTTTCAGTTATCCCCTCACAACACCACAAAAGAAACTGTATTTAACATTGGATTTGCTACCATTCTGCTGACATTGTATGTTCACTGATACACATCACTTATTGCAGGAGATGACACACTGCTGTTTCCAAAAATGAAGTATTTAAGCAAAAAAGCTGAGGCGGAAAAGGTTGAGAACCCCTGGTTTAGAGGTTTATGTATCAGGCGGAAATAAACCCCTCCATTCTACCCTCTGTTACACTGTGGCAGTTATTCATACAGTTATTCTTACTGTTGGGGAAAAAAAATTGATAGTGTTTCCTTTCGAATGACACCAAGATCATGACTGTAGCCCAAAGTCTGTGGGAACAGCGCCCCCTTTACTTTGGGTACTCTGTTTCAGGCACAAACAGGGCAACAATTAACAGGTTAACTACACAAAGTGTCCATATTACATTGTGCCCTGTGTTAGTTTGTGTCCTGCCCTCTGTTATGTGGCTGTTTACAGTATAAGGTCTCCGCGGCTCTACAGTGGAAATGTACTGAAACCTCACAACACAAACTTATGTCTCCACCCACAGACAATAACTCAGAGAGAGAGAAAATAAAGAGCGAGGCCGAGAGACAGTGGGAGTGGACTGTGAAGCTCGAATACACTGGGCTCCGTGGCCATATGGCGCAGTAAAATTTGCTCTTTTCATCACCACAGAAAGATCCAAAAGATGAGATCCAAAAGAACCGCCGTAATTAACGACTGCAGGCAAACTGTGGATAAACACCGTCACTCGGCAGCTGTCACTGGTGATAAAACTCACAGACCGGTCAGGGCCTTAGAGCTAAAACACCGCTATCTGTCACCACGGGTTTGGAGAGGAAGTCCAGAAGCTGCAGAGATCTACAGAGCTCATCTGTGCTCTCAGTTTCAACTGTGACAGAGAAATACAGAAGACAGATGTGAAACCGAGCTGTCAGTTAGACGATGTCAGAGATGTCTATGTGTCAAAGTGAATGTTGGTGCACACTCGAAAACATCAGGCAGTATTTTGATTCTGATGATA